GGACCTTAAAGATGATGTAATTCCACCCCTCCCACTAGCCCAGGTTGCTCCAAGCCCCGTCCAACCTGGCCTTGGACACTTGCAGGGATGGGGCAGCCACAGCTTCTCTGGGCAACCTGTGCCAGGGCCTCCCCACCCTTAGAGTAACAAAATTTCTTCCTTATATCCCCTCTAAATCTTCCCTTCTTCAGCTGAAAGCCACTTGGAAAACTGTTTTGCTTACCTTATTAAAAACTGCTGTTCCACAGCTGAAATAAAAAACCAAAGAGTGTTACTGAGGTGTGTGCTGGGGGGTCTGCAGCCATCTGTGCTGCTGGGCACCCTCTGTCACCCCCACCCAAGCTGAGGTTTTGGACAGCAAGAGCTCGTGCCTCTTTGAGGGGGAACATTTTGGGCTTGGGAAGCTGCTGCCCTGTGGGATCTGAATTCACAGCCCAGGGAGGGAGGGCAGGGCCAACTTACTCTGTCTGCTGGCTCGAGTCTTTCACTCCTTCTCTTGGACTAGCAAGGGGGGTCTGTGTTCCTGGGAAGGCAGAGTGAAAGGATGTGAGTGATCCCCCTGTCTGAAGAGCCAGGAACTTTGTCTTTTAGGGTGTCCATCTCCACTCCCAGATGGCTCCTAGGATGGGCAGCAATTTAAACAGTGTCCAGTGACAACTCAACGGGGACAAAAAGCAAAGAAATGTCCTGCTCTGATGGACAGAGAAGTAGAAGTTGAGTAATCCTGCAGTGAAGTCAGCCTCCAGAGCCCTGGATAACACTGGGACAGTGACAGGGAAAAGCTGTAGGGCAGAGCATCTGCTCAGCAGCACGGGGGGGTTAAGCTGTGGGCTGGTTTATCCCTCCATGGGAAAAATATTCCTCATTCCTGCCGTGTTCAGGGGAAATTCACACTAGGATGGTCAAACCTGGCTGGGGAGCTGGGGCTGGAGGGGAGCCACCAGCTCATCCCAAGGAGTTTGATGATGGAGATGTGGATGCTGCTGTGCTGGGAAAGCCAAGCATCCCTCACCTACCTTGGGTGTTCACAGAGTCACTTTGCCCAGGAATGGTTTCTGCAGGAATGCCAAGGGGGATGCTGAGGTAGAGCAGGGGCTGTGCAGGGGGTGACGTGGGGCAGCTCCACGAGTCCTGGAATGAGAGGGCAGCTTGAGGCAGTGTCTCTCCAAAGCAGGCTGGGGGGAAGGGGTTAAGGCCTGGTCAGGCTTTGTAGCTGTGGTGACTGGGTGAAGGGCACCAAGAAACCATGGCAAATCCACGAGGATCTGCTGCTTTGGCTGCAGCAGCTCCAGAGCTTTGTGGGCAAGTGGGAGAAAAACCAGCTGGCTGCTGGGGCAGGGGGAGTGGCAATGCCAGAACAGGGCAAGGAATCCCCTCTAAGGGTCTTGAGATCTTTTTGGGCAAGATGAGGACTTTGGGTGGCAGGAAAATGGGTCCTGGTTTGGGTCTCTGCTGCCATTTGGCTGCCTTGGAGCAGAGGTGCCAGTTCTGCACTGGCTTCCCCCAGGGCTGGAGCCTTGATATCTCTGCAGGAGTAAATAGAGAAGGCCCTGTGAGCGTGTAAATGCCTGTTCCAGATTCCTGTGACTGAACCTGGTGAACCAAACAGCAGCAGGAGGCTGGTAATTGCCAGGGAGTTGGAGGGTGTGCCCATTTAAGTCACCTCGTGTTTGGCTGTCTGTGCTCACACGAGTTTGTGAAACCCCCAGGGATCAACTCAGCCTACCAGGGAATGGTTCATTTTCCATGGATAGAAGTTTAGAAGGAAATCTGTTTGGTTCTGACTGGCGTGTTTTGCAACCTGCCACAGATGCTGTTCGAGACAGAGAGCCCTCTGGGTCACTGTCAGCTGTGCAGCACAGGGCAGGCAGCGAGTGCCAGGGAGTCTCCTGATCCCTCCACCCTTCCTGCCAACAGCAAAGGTGACTGGAGGCAAACCAGGTGCTTGGAGCTCGCTTAGCAAGGCTAAAATAACCTGTGTAAGTGCAAACCTGTAGCCTGGCAGCTGGGATGTGGGGTTGTGCTCGGAGGAATGGCAGAAAATGTTTGGTTCAGGGTTCATAAAACAGGAGAGGGGCACTCAGGGGGGTGACAATGTGTGCCCACACCTGACTTTGTAGGGCGTGAGAAAACATGTGCTTCTGTCTGTGCAAATCTCATATTCTGGCTGCACTGTGATTTGGATCCTGGTGTTCCAGTGGGTGCTGAGCTGTGCCCCAGGGGCAGGTGTTACCTGGAGCAGGACCGAGGAGTCCGGCGGGGTTTGCCCCTCAGGCTCCTGCCTCGGGGGTGCCCTTCCCGCGTCGCTCGCCAGGTTTCTCCTCCTCAGGAACTCCCTTTGGCGAGGGCTCTGGGGTGGCTGCTCTGCTCCCCTGGGCAGGTGCCGGCAGGTGGTCAGGTTGTTCCTCCTCCACAGGTTCTCCCTGCTCTCGTGCCGCCGCTCGCACTTCTCCTCGTAGCTCTCGCCCAAGCGCCGGCGCCGCGGCCGGGCCCCCCCGGGCTGGCTGATCATCCTGGGCTCTCACCTCCCTGGGGTCCTCTGTCCTGGCTGAAACTGAGGGAAAAGACACCATTTGAGTCATAACTAGCTGATTCTAAGATTTATCGAATGTGAGGTGTTTGTTTCTGGAGTCCTCAGACAGTGGGTGTAAATGTTGCCGGAGAACAATCTCTGTGAATCCCTGGCAGGAGGGTGTAGCGGGATGGGTATCAGGCTCTTCTCCCGGGCAACCAGCAGCAGGACAAGAGGGCACAGTCCTAACTTGTGCCAGAGGAGGTTTAGATTGGACATTAGGGCGAAATTCTTTTCAGAGAGAGTGATCAGACACTGGAAGGGGCTGCCCAGGGAGGTGGTGGAGTCACCGTCCCCAGGCGTGTTTAGGAAGAGGCTGGACGTGGCACCAGTGCCATGGTCTGGCAGGCAAGGTGGTGTTAGGTCAGAGATTGGACTCAGTGATCTCAGAGGTCTTTTCCAACCTGGTTGATTCTGTGATCCTGTAAATCCATAGCCCATGAAGTCTAAAACACACACCACTGATCTTGCTCTGTTGGATGGGTCCTGACCCGGGATTAACCAAGCCCTGGCTTTCTTTCATTGCACATACAAGTGTAGAGACCAATCATTATTCCTTGGGATTAATTAATTGTTAAGCTGTGCTCAAGGACTGGGGGCCTGGACTCTTAGTTTGCCTCAGGCATGAATTCTGCCCCATTTCCTGGGAATTTGGGGCCCAAACCAGGCAGTGGCATGGCCAAAGGAGGAGATGCTCCATTCCAGCACTGTTACACTGTCTACATGTGTGCACAGGGTGCAGGTATGGAGCCTCCTCCCTCCTCGTGACCTCTCTGCACAGTTGCAAGTCCACCACTGTGTTATTCTTAATTGTATTCTGAGACTTTGCCTCTGCATCAGTTAAAGGGAAAGCTGAGCAAGAACTACCCAAACAAAAAAAGAGGAATTTTAGTATCTGAAAATTCAGGTTAAATGTTCTTCAGTATGAAACAAAAACTATGAAAACTTCACTGGTCTCATTCTCTCTCAAGCAATTAGGAAGTTATTGAGTCTAATGGGGGGAAAAAAATGGGAACTAGTAAGTCCCATTTACACATAAAATACTTCTGTGCTTTTGGGTCTGCATTAAAATCTGCTCTGTAATTCTTTTTATCGGCCTTGTGTTCGCTGTGGAGTGCTCAAAGCTCATTCCTGGTGCCATCTTTCACTGCAGGGGCTTCCTTTGGAAGGAGCACATTGTTTTTTGGGTGGTCAGGTGCCCACAAGACCCAGCCAGGGCACTGTTCTGAATGCTGAGAGTTTTTTAACTGATTTTGCTGAGTTTTAGGAAAGGTTCAGTTAAATATCCTGCCCAGTCTGCACTCATCCATCTCCTCCCATCAGGAATAGCTCAGCCCCTTTCCCACCTGCGCTGCCTCTGGGCTGCCCAGCCTGTCCCAGGGCTGGAATAGCCTCAGTTAACCAAAAATGCCCTTTTAAAGCAAGGTAAAGCTCAAAGAAATACACAGTCCATTACTCACCCCGAGCTGAGCAAACTGCTGAGGCCTTCTTGACAGGCTAACACTCTATTTCCTCCTTCTGTTACCCCAAATCACCCTCTCTAATTAAACATGTCCTTTATCTGTGCTTTCCAAGCTGTTACACTTCTTGCTTCAAGGGAAACCAGAAAAAAAAAAAAAAAAGGTGCTTCTTGCTGGTTCATGTTACAGCTTCCCGGTGCAAGTTGTGGAGGCTGAAAGTGGGGTGAAAAAAAAAAGAGGGAAGAAGGTGCATGTTGCTGCTTTCAGTCTCTGCTCCCCTCCAGTCCTCACCGGCCCCGGTGCTGTGGGTGCTCCAGCACTTACCTGGCTCGAGGGGTCCTGTCCTACCCCTGGGCTGCTGTGCAGGGGCAGGGTGTTATCAGGCATGAACACGCTCCAACTGCCATCCTCTTGCCAACCACCTCATTTTCTGCTCTCACTCTCTTTTTTCCACTCTGTAAAACAGGAAACGTTGCAGCTGCAGCCGAGCCCCGGTTCCTGTCTCTGCTCACGGCCCCGGCTTGTAGGACACCAGGGGGGCCCTTGGGTTATCTTGGGAGCCCAAACTCTCTCCAGCTTTTTCTCTGAGCAGACCCCACAATTATCTTTTGGGCCATCTGCTGGTCTCAAGCATGCAGAGGTTGAGTGCTGGCTCATGGAACTGCTCGTGGCACTCGGTGACTGGGTTTCCCCCGAGCTGCTCTGGGGTAGAGAAATTCAGACTTAGGGAAGTACAGTAATGCTATTATTTTAAGGGCTTTTTTGCAGATTGGAAAGGAGGGGGGGGGAGGAAAAAAGCGTGTTTTGGCAGCTGAGGAGAGCTCAGGAATGGCAGAAATTCATTAAGGTCTTTAGAGGAGCGAAAGCTTTGTTAATGCAAATCGGGAGGAGGTGGGTTTAGCCAGCTGGGTGCTGATAAGGGCTCTACGCCTGGGCACGTGGAAAAGGAGCACAAGGAAACGTAGAGATCTCATAGTAATGTAGGATTTATTTTTACAAAGACCAACCTAGAAGGGATACAAACAAATTTCCTGGTTCTTGTGGCTTTGGGTGGTTTGTGCTGCTTGGCCCAAATCACCATTCTGGCTCACGTCCTGTGGCACTTGCTGCCTCTGCCTTGGTGGCTTTCCATGGAGGAACAGTTTCTGGAGGTTGAGCAGGACACTGGCAGCAGATCCTGCTGCAGGACTTCCCTGAAGTGCCTCTTGGTTGGAAAAAGCCCATTGCAAGAGTTCATTACTAAAAAAGGGCATTTTCCTGCTGCCTTACAGACTTCTGGAGCGTCCTGTCTTGAGTTGCCGGGGTGAGTCAGCACGGGCTGCCCAGGAGGTGTGGAAAAGGGCAGCCAAGCAGCTGGATTAACACCCCCAAACCCCTGCTGCCCGGCCCAAGGTGCCCTGGCACCCTTGCTGTCCCCTGGTGACTATGTTCTTTTGAGGTTTTCCACGTGGTAGTTGTTCCTGATGGTGGAGTCGAGGAATTCGGGGGCGATGTCTCGCAGGAGGAGGGCGGTGCTCACCACCCAGGGTGGGTAGTGCAGCTCCCGCTGCCTCAGGGCTCCAGCCTTGACGATCTCCAGGGCACACTCCTCCTTTGGTGCCGGTTTGTCCCGGATAACGTGCGAGACTGCTCGCACAGCGCTCTCTGGAAGGGTGGGAAGCACAGGGAGGGGAAGAAGGAGTGGGGTCAGAGGGAGGGTCTGCCACAGGCACCTGTCAGGGTGTCTGGAGAACTCTCGAACTGACAAACTCCGGGGATCAGACCTACTTAACAAGGCTTGTGACAATTAAAACAGCAATTATAGCTACACCCTTCCCATTCCTTTCCACCTCCTGAGTGACCACAGGGTGGAATCCCCACCTCCCCTGCAAGGATAGCAGAGTTAAAAGCCTCAGACCATGCTCTTTAAAGAGTTGGGGTCCTGTCCCCACCATTGCACAGACGCTGCAGGCAGAGGGTCCAGCAGTGGTGGCAAAGCAGCCTGGAGTCAGCTTGGCTCTGCCAGGAGGCCCCAGTGGTGCTGAGCTCACCTGTGTTGATGTAGCCCAGGATGCAGAGCGTGATGGAAACGTTGACCTTGTCCATGATGAATTCGTGTCGCAAGGAGCTGAAAAAGCCCTCCAAGGCGAACTTGGTTGCGGAATAGGAAGCAGCAAATGGGGAGCCAATTTTACCTGGAGCAGAGACACAGTGTTGGGGTTCATGTGCTGGGCAGGCACCAGGCTGCACAGCTCTCCGTTCCTCTTACCCTTCAAGGAGCTACACTACTGTGGTTTAGATGATGGAGTGAACTGTTATGAATGCTTGAGGGAAATAAACAAATGCAGGAATGTTTAAAATGTAACATATGGCATGAAGTACCTTCTGTTGTGGATGATACTGTTCCTGTATTCAGGAAGAGATAGCCACATGCAGCAAATGCATGTGTAACATGTGGCTATGCATGAAGGTGATTAGTGGGTGGCTAAAAGGACAAAATACAAGCTATAAATCTCCCAGAGGACTTAAATTGTGCGTCCAGGACCCAGGTCTGGCTGACCCTGACTCCCAGTGGGTGACTCTCTGCCTTATTCTGTCACAGAGAGGCCCCCTGTGTGCTCACCTGCCACGGATGAGACCACCACGATGCTGCCCTCGCTCTCCTTCAGCATGGACAGGGCTGAGGTGGTCATGGCCACGTAGCTCAGGAAGTTGGTCTCCATGAGCCTTCGTACTTGCCCGACGTTCCCATCGAAGTAGTTGAAGCCGGACTGACCGATGTGGTTCAGGATCAGCATGTCCAGGCCGCCTGCAGGCAGAGCGTGTTTGCCATCAGCAACAGGCACCTCCCAGCAAAGCAGCTTCCTGGGGGTTGGAACGGGCCCCAAAGTGTAGCATGGGGTGTGCTGGGCAGCGAGGAAGGGCAGCTCCACAGCACCTACCCCAGGTGTTCTCAGCCTCCCTCACCACCACCTCGGGGAACGAGGGGTCCTCCATGGAGCCGCTGATGTAGCGGGCGGAGGCAGCTCCCAGCTCCAGGCATCGCTCCACCACCTGTGGGGACAGTGGGAATGTGGGTGTTAGCATGGACTCACCTTCACAGAGCCCCCCACCTATCATCCCAGGCTGTTGCTGTCCTGCTGGAAACCCTGCTCCCTTTACGGGATGAGACATGTTGCTTGGAAAACTGTTTCTGTCTGCAGATGTGAATGACAGCACATCTGAGCCAAATATGTAGTATGTACAAACAGGGATCCAATTGCTTAACGTCAGCATTTCGATTCTGTTTTATACAGGATGCAAAACCAGTTCAGAACTGGAGAAAGGGCAAGGGTTGATCAGACAAGGTCTTGAGCAGGTCTTGTCTGTGGTGGTGGAGGTCAGAATTCACAGCTAGAGGCTGCAGAGAAGGAAATGCTGTGCTGTCAGCATTGAAAATGCATTTTTTGAGGTGGTCTGTGTGTGTGTGTTAGAACGGGATACACTGGGGTGGGTCTGCAGGGTCTCTGGTATTCCCACGTGGATATCCGCACCCATCCCGGCTCTCCTTGCCATTTACTTTCTGCAGCTTGGCCTCAGTCCGCGCCGTGAGCAGGAGGTGTGTCTCCATGCGTGCCAGGTGATAGGCCATCTGCTCCCCGATGCCGCTGCTGGCTCCCGTCACGATCACCCTCTTCCCCCGGAGCATCTCTGCAGGAGGAGGGCGCGGAGCTCAGAGCCAGCACAGCCCCTGGTTCTCTCTCCACACGTGGGCACTGTGGCTCCTCTCTGGCGCTGCCGCCCCTCAGCTTGGGGTGCAGGAGCTGCCGGCAGCAGCACAGCCCCACCGCGGCGTGCACCCTTCGCCAGACCCCGCCGGAGCCCGGTCCTTAATCCCGGTTTGATGGGGAGCAAGTGCGAGGCTCGAGCTCCGCACCCAGCCTGGCCTGGGAGCGGCGAGAGCTGACTAATAGGAGGATTGAAGCAGAAAATGCACGTTTCCCAAGTCAGTCATTTACAGAGGTCGCAGGCGCTGCGTGTCCCAGCAGAGCCAGAGTAACCCCGCGAGTTTTTCCTGTGCTCTGACCCCTTGCACGGGGGGCAGCCTGCCCTGCCCTCCCCTCCCAGCCCTCAGCCTTCCCACGCTTTGGCTTCTCTGGCTGTGTCTCCCTTCAAGTGGCCTGTGCCCCTCTGCATGGCACGCTCTGCCACGCTGGCACAGCCTCCCTGCAGTTGTATTTCCCATGACTTACCTTCATTGAAACCCGGAGGCGCTGAATAAAAATAAAAGGCCAGTGCTGCTCCCAGCAAGGGGATGAAAATCTTCAGGAGCAAACCCATCCCCCTGCAAAAAAATAAAGGCAGGAGTGAGACAAACCCCACAGCTCTGGCCACGGGAGGTGTCTGCAGGTTGCAGATGGGGCTGGGAAGGTTTGAGCTGGTTCTGGTCTTGCGTAAGTTTGCTGGTATCTGTTGGACCTTTTCGTTGCTCTGCCTGTGATTTAGCAAACATTAACCTAATGAAGAGTGTGTGGCTTTGGACTTTAGGCTGTCCCTTTGCACCCTTGGCCTGCCAGGAGTTTCGGGTGTGCTTTTTGAGAGCGTTCAAGGGAAGGCACTGAACAGTTTCTCGCTCTGTGGAGTGGTGGGTGTGTTGTTTGGTGGTTGCTTTTGGGGCTGGGACACCTGTGGCCCCTCCAGAGAAGAGAGGGGGATGGATGGAGATCCTTCCCCCTCCACTTCTAAAATAAAAACAACACTTCCCTTCCTCACTGGCTGCCACAAGGATTTATTTATCAGCAGTATCACTGTGGTACAAGTTCACAGAAATATCTGGAGAGAGCAAGGCTGGAAAATTTGCCTTTTCCAATGAGTATTGATGTTTCTGGCTTATCCTCTATGATATCACCGTTGGTACAATACTGATAGTTTGTTCGGTGGCTCTTACACCTGAAAAGTTGCACTCTTGAGGAATCTGTGGATTATAAAAGGCAGCAAAAGAGCCAAGTGGATGAATAAGAAAACCCTTCAGCTTCCACAGCTTTCTGAATCTCACAGCTCAGCATCTGCCTGGGCATATGGAGAATGGGTTTGTAAGTAATTGTCTGAAAGAGGAAGTTGAAAGGGCAAAACCTGCTCAGTGTGAGCTGGTTTGTGCAGGCAGTCTGGGGAGGTTTTGTCACACAAGGGGTGGTAACAGTTGGTGAAGGAATGGCCAGAGTCATGGGAGGTGTAAATGGATCAAGTTGGGGAAGTGGTGTGGAGCTCGCTGTGGGCTTGGATTTGCATTCAGCATGGACTGCTCCCACTGCCCTGCATCTAGAAGGTGTTTTGCAGTTAGAATGTCTGTGAAGGAAACTGCCTGGCAGTTTGGGAAGATTTGTTTGGATTAAAAATGTGCATTTAATGGGGAATGGGGAGTGAATGACTTTAAGCCAAAGAAGGATATATTTAGGTTGGGTATTACAAATAAATCCTTCCCTGTGAGGGTGGTGAAGCCCTGGCACAGGTTGCCCCGAGAAGCTGTGGCTACCCCATCCCTGGAGGTGTCCAAGGCCAGGTTGGACGGGGCTTGGAGCAACCTGGTGAGGTGGAAGATGTTCCTGCCCATGGCAGAGGGGTGGAATTGCATCATCTTTAAGGTCCCTTCCAACCCAAGCCATTCTGTGATTCTATAGTTCTATGAAATTGGCCTTTAAGCTAACAAATAGGCTGAAATATCCCCGAAAACGAAATGATGAGGGATTATTGCCACGATTTCAACCTCCCCTTGAAAGCCGAGTGGGCAGAGAGCCACGGCAGAGAAAAGTGATAAACGCACGAAGCTGTCCGGTTAGTACATTTTATTTAATAATTAGCTCAATAATTAGATTTGCCGGGGACAGAGGGGAAGCAGGCAAGGCTGCGAGACCTCCCTCGCCCCTCCGGGTGCCGCCAGCGCATCGCAAACCGGCGGGGCGGTGGCCGGGGGTGGCCGGGCCGAGCATCCGCGGTGCCCCCGCGGCTCAGAGGGCAGGGCGGGGGGTACCGGGGGTGTCGGGCAGGCGGTAGCGGCTCCTCACCAGGTAGTCGAGGAGCTCTGCGGCGCAGTCCCGGAGCAGCAGGGGCAGGCGGGTGGAGCTGTAGCGATAGTAGAGCTCCCGGCGGCGCAGCGCGGCCCCTTTCAGGATCTCCAGCGCGCACTCGTCCCGCGGCGCCGGCACCTCCCGCAGCACCTCCGCGGCAGCGCGGACAGCGCGGTCTGCGTGCGGGGAGAGGGTCAGGGCGGCGGTGCGGGGGGCACAGAGAGTGGAGGGATCCGTGGGAGACACGGGGGGGATGAGGGGAGAGTGGAGGAGCGCATAAATGAGATGAGGGGTATAGAGAGAGGGGGATGGAGGGGCACAGAGAGGGGCGAGTGGGGACCCCCAGGGGCACAGTGAGGCTTAGGGGTGGGTGGGGACCCCGAGGGGCTCAGAGAGGGGATGAGGGATACTCAGAGAGGTGAGGCAGAGGAGAGGGTTGAGGGGCAGGATGAGGAGCTGAGGTGGTGATGCTCCACTGCTGACCAATGCATCCGACAGCACAACTTACCAGTATCAATGAAGCCAAGGATGCAGAGTGTGATGGAAACATTAATGCTCTGAATGGTGAATTCCTGCCTCAGGGAGCTGAAAAATCCATCCAGGGCGAACTTGGTCGCAGAGTAGGGGACAGTAAAGGGAAACCCAACTTTACCTGGACACAGAGTGAAGTTCTGTTACAGCACAGGGAGCTGCTCTGCCCTTCATCAGAGAGAGTATTTTCTCTAAGGGGAGTTTACTGTTAGTGAAATGTCATCCTGACACCTGAACAGCAGCGTTACAAATATTCCTGTTGGCTTCCAGCTCTTTTAAGGTCTTATGCCCAACACCAGGGCTCATGTCTCTGCTGAGGGCATAAGCAACCCAAAGTAACCACAAAACCCTCCGTGGGGAGGGAGGGAGCAAAGTTTAAACTCCTGTCCCTGGATCCTGGGCTAAACTGATGACCAGAACACTGCCCAGCACACCAGCTCGGGGGTTTTAGTTGCAGGGCCGGTCAAAAAGCAAACTGAGGCGATTGGATTGAACAGGAAACAAATTCCATCAAGAAAATCCCAAAATAACCTGGATTTGGTGCTGGGGTTGTTTTTGATGGTGTGGGTTTTTGTTTGTTTGTTTGTTTGCTTTTGGGGTTTTTGTTTGGTTGGGTTGGGTTGTTTTTGTTTTGAATATTAAGCAGTTGTGACTCTTTTAGGATGCCTGTGTGCTACTTATGAAAATCACCCCTTGGTGTCTCTTGGGTGAATCCCATGTTGCCTACCTCCCTCCCCACTCACCTGCCATGGATGAAACCACTACAATGCTGCCCTCACTCTCCTTCAGCATGGGCAGGGCTGACGTGGTCATGGCCACATAGCTGAGGAAGTTGATTTCCAGGAGCTTTCGTACGTGCTCAACATCCCCATCGAAAAAACCAAAGTATGAAGCACCAACGTGGTTAAGAATGAGCATGTCCAGGCCTCCTGCAAGCAGAGGAAAGGGTGTTAGTGCCTGGGGCTGAAGGGGGAGAGGGCTACAAACAGCAAAACAGCCTTTCCTGGGAGCAGAATAAGTGTAATCAGAAGAAATCAGGTTTTTGGGTCAGAGCTGTGGCCCGTTATCTCTGGGGCAGGGATATACTCCAGATGGTGGCTGCCAGTAAAACCTCTGCTGTGATATATTTCTTTTTGGTTCAAATCACAAATACCACGCCACAGGGGAGATCACCCCCAGCTGTGTGTGTGGGCCCTGGGAGGGAGAAGGGAGCGCTCCCCACGGAGCTGGAGCCGTGCATTTCCACAGCCGTGACCCGTGACCGCGATACCGGGGCTGATGGGACACTCCAGCCCCCTGGGTGACGAAATCCGGGATCGTGGCCCCTGCAGCAGGAATGTCATGAGGGCACAGGGCTGAAAAGGAGAGCGCAGTTCAGTTTGAGGGGCAGTGGGGAAGCCAGGCAGGGGGGCAGAATCAGGGGGAAACTTCTCCTACTTTTTTTTTTTTGTCAATAAGCCTGGCGGGGATGAGATGCCCTGTTCTTCTGGCACTCGTGGAGGGCAATCTGCAGACATACCCAGCGAGGCCTCTGCCTCCCTCACCACGTGCTGGGCGAAGGCCATGTCCTCCATGGTGCCGCTGACGTACCGCGCCGAGGCTGCTCCCAGCTCCAGGCACCGCTGCACCACCTGCCACCAACACAGCCCGTCAGGAACGCGCCTCCCCCCTGCCCTGCCAGCCCGAGGTGGCACCAAACGTGGGTGTCTGGGCTCCCTGTGATGTCTCCCCACCTTAAAGCAGCGGTTTGGGAGCGTGTCTGGAGCCTTCTAAGCTTCAAAGGGAGCTTGGGGAATTATTCTTGCACCCCAGGCAGTCTGGCTCTCCATCCAGTCTGGAACTGCGTGTGTGTGGGGAGAGCAGGAGCTTGGATATCACTGCAGTGGAATGAGGGTGGGTGGGTGTGTGTGGGGATGTGTGTACTTAAGTTCAAACCTTATAACACGTTCTGCAGGGTGTGTGTGTCTGCAGGAGAGGGATTTCTGTGCATGCAGGAGCCACAGGGGTGTCTACCCGTGAGTGTCGCCATTCCCAGGTGGGATTTGTGCTGTGGCAATGACCTGTGTGGATATTCCTGCGTGGTGGATGTACCTGTGGTGCGAGATCAGCCTTCGTGTGGGTGCCCTGCTGTGAACATGCATGTGAGAGTGCCCGCTTTGCCATTTACTTTCTGCAGCTTGGCCTCTGTCCGTGCCGTGATCAGGATGTGGGATCCCATCCGTGCCAGGTGGTAGGCAATCTGCTCCCCAATTCCAGTGCTGGCTCCCGTCACAATCACCCGCTTCCCCTTCAGCATCTCTGGGGACCGAGGCACAGGGATTTAATTTATCCAAATGCTGTTCGGAAAAAAAAACCACCCCTAAAACTAAAAAAAGAAAAAATCCCATAACACCCTTCAGAACAAGCAGTTAACTGGAATGTAAATGAGCCTGTAAGTGCAAAGCATCCAGCACCAGGAAAAAGCTGTGGAGCTGCTGCAGCTCCTCACGGAATGCAGCGACACAGGGACAGCGCTTGACTCTTCCAGCGGATTTTTCCACGAGTCAGGACGCAACTTATCAGCACCCCGACTATTCTGTAGTAAAAATCGCCCACTGAGTGCATTGTCTGAACTTAAAATCCATTATTTTAAAAGTAATTTTTATAATCTGCTGCTGCACACTGGAAAATGGAGCATTCAGAACCCTCTCCCCCTCAGCCCCCTGCCTCACCTGCTCCCTCGGGAAGTATTTACGAGTATTCCTTGCTCAGTTGGATTTTAAATCTTTGTTAAAGCAACTTTCTGCTATCAGCCACCGCACAAAGGCTCAGGCTTGGCTTGGTCCGAGCTCTGAATGGTTTCTATGCAAAGCACTCGAATGTGGCTTCTCATATTTTTAATTTAAAGGCAGAGTCGCTTCAGAT